AATCTCATGAAATTCGATTGGTTTTAAACACGAATATAGAATGGATACATATCATTGAAACGCTCATTTCATTTCATAAATTCTGAGGATGTACAACCATGTGAGGAAAAATTTGGTCCGAAAAGCTGCCAAAATATCCGGCCCGCTAGCAAGCCAAACTTAGCTGTTTTTTTTTTTCCTTAAACTGAAAAAAAAAAAAATATTAAATTAATGTTTTTGAACGGTAATTCTGACTTATGTTGCCCACATGGTTATTTGTCGAGAAGGAGTTAAAGTGTAGAATCTTAAGAAGGGAAGCTTTAAGCTAATCTGATAACGAAAAAAGGATTTTTAAAATGTCGTCAAAAATTAAGTTAGCACAGGCCTAAATAACACAACGAATGCAATATTTCCCTGTAGAAATGCACATTAACAACGCTACACCAGCCAAGCTTTTACACCCAGATAACTATGATCAGCTTTTATGATGTAAATTGAATAGAAAAAAAAATTATTGTTAGTTAGGAATGAAGAAAAGGCTGAAATCATTGTTCTTGAATTGTAATTCTGGCCAATGCCTCCGACATGCTTAGCAACCGAGAACGAGTGAAAATATAGAGTTTGAGACGCTTAATCCAAAATATCTCAGTGAAAGAAAAATGTTAACCCAATTCAACAACTAAAAAGCATTTTAAAAATGCCATAAAAAAAGGTAACACAGGCCTGAACAACACATCGAAATGCAATATTTTTCTGCAGACGGGCAAAATCCCAACATTACACAGACGAAGCCTTCATTCCCAAGTAAAGATGGTATTTTAAGAGGTAAGTTGAAAAGAAAAAAATAAATGATTGTTTCTTAGGACCGAAGAAAAGGCTGAAGCCACTGTTCTTGAATTTTAATTCTGACCAATGTTTCCCACATGCTGAGTAATTGAGAACGAGTGAAAGTATATCGTCTGAGACGCTTGATCCAAATAATCTAAGGGAAGAAAAATGTCAAGCTAATTCGGCAACAAAAAAGCATTTTAAATATGTCATCTAAATAGGTAACACAGACCTGAATAACACATCGAAATGCAATGTTTTGCTATAGACTTGCAAATGTACAACACTACACTGATGAAGCCTTAATACCCAAGGGAACATAGTAAGCTAGCATGATGTTAGTTAAAAAAAAAGGTAAACGATAGTGACGTCATAGCTGTACGTTCGTCTTTTCGAAAGGCCTGAACTGTAGTTGCGTGCGCGAAATTTCAAATTAGTTGGGCTCTGCTCTCTCGACGCTGAAAAATGTCCTTGTTGTGTACCTGAAATTACAATATTGCCGACGTATAACTTCCACGTCATGTTCTCTTGCTTTTGAAAATACAGAGACAGTTCACCTTATTCCAATTATCAGAAATTGTTCTCACACGGGTCAACAAGGACAAAGCGTCGAACAAAGTTTGACCATTGCTCCGTCATAGCTGATGCCATATCCAAGATGGCGTGTTTCTAACCTCGAAAGTTATAAGGGCAACTTCAAAGTGCTCTTGTCGCTAATACAAGGCAAACTACACAAAATGTCAGTAATGTTCGAACTCCTGAGGTAAAAGTCTTCTAACTGAGATGAACTTTTTTCTCGAACGTACTTTCCCTTTAACCCTCAAATTGACTAGCGTTTAATTTCTCCACACATTATCACCCCTGTATCACACAAGAAGGTCACAATAATAAAGAAAACGATCACCAACTAAAGATGCTCTTGATTGGTAAACAAATTCTCATCAGTTCCTTAGGGAATGTGTAGAGAACAGTATGGAAAATATGCATACGATGTTAGGGTGTGAAGGGTTAAAAGAATGTATCATCAATTTTTCAGTTCTCTATTCCTTAATTACCCAGAGATGGCAACGATTTTCCTCCAAGAATTGCATTCAGTACTTTTAGGGAAAACGTTGGAGTGACCGATCTCGAGTTCTGAAGGCTTCCTCTCCTAGTTAAGTAACTGTTAAATTTTTCCTCTTATCTTTAATCATGAATTCGAATAGACCTGATCTTCGTTAGTTTTTTTGAAGATTATGATCCCGGAGACATTTCATACTGTGAATACTGTACCTGTATAAATTGACTATCTGTTAACTGACAAAAAGTTTTCTTATCCAGAATCTACTGTAACTATAGAATTTGTGGAGAGCCTCTTGGATTATATTACATTACATGTGGCACATTTTTTGAATTAGGATACTCCTATTTCAGTATGATATGATTCCCCTTTACTGTAAATGCAGCCATAACTGTCTCATTCACTCACTCTACCTTCTCTTTTCTTTATAATTAATAGTTATCACCTCTTTCAATATCCCCACCACTTCTCTTTCAACCCCAGTCTCCATTAAGTTAGGAAATCGTGCTACAACTTCATCATCAACATTCCCTTTCCCTTTTGCAATGTATGTAGAGTTGCGATGACGATAAAATCCCAGAGTTACAGGTTAAAACTACAACAAGACCTTTTAACGTCCTGTTCAGGATTGTGTTTTTGTAACAACTCTGGTACCACAAGGCACGACAATTCATGTGACTTGCTGATCACAGACTATAATTACGAGTGTCGCGCCACAATGTACAGTATAAACAATAAGTGGAGACCTTTCTCCAGATTTTAAAAGGATTTCCAGGTTATCAATATCTTTTATGGTATTGTTTCTAGGAAGGAAGATAAAGATGAGGAGAACAGTTCGGACCAGAAAACTATGAATATTGTTAGCATGAGTCAAGAAAGACCGCAGTTTTTATCAAATTAAGCTTTGACTCTGGTTAGAGTCAAAATTTTCAAACTTTGATTGGTGGAAGGTACCGTAGTTAAGGTGATAAGAAGGGAACCTCTTTTTCTGTAATGGTAGGTCATTAAAACAGTTGACAGGGTTGTCAGTAAATTTTTTTATAGTTGTTGCTGCGCTGCTTTCATGCATGACACTAAAATACAAGCCAAAAGTCATGTATCTTGGGCCCGTTGAGGGGCCACGTTTTAGCGTATCGGAAGATGACATCTGCGAGAGGCCTGGGCCAGAATTTACAACTTCAATATGGTCCCTATATTTCAACGTTGTAGAGACACTGCGAGGCATTTTGATTATTTTGTCATTCTGTGATCTGCTGACAGGCTATTCATTTCGGAAACTAAAACCGACCAACAGTCAATACTAAACTCAGTTACCTCCCCAATTAGTCCTTCTTTCATTTGCATTTAATAGACGAATTGATCTTCTAATCGAAGCGCTTTGATAGCTGTAATACTTGCCAGTGACACCCGCGACAGGTCTTACACGTTACGGGTTCAATGAGAACCCTGGTTGATTATGAGGGTGAGCCTCATACCTTTTGAGTATCAACGAGAAAAATGTACCATCAAAGACTGTACGTGGCTACTGGTATAGCACAGTTTTTTATGGCATTAAAAAGAATGAAAGGTTGTATAATAATGCTAGGAGGTAGAGTCGCAGAATATTTGTCTCACATGCAAAAAAAAACAACAACAAAAAAGATGCTGCATCCCACATATTTATGAGTACCCTGTTCCAGAAGAGAAAGATGATTCAAGAATACATTGTCTAATTGACATTCAACCAATGACTAAATGATAACAAATAACTCACTCAATCACTCATCTTGACAACACATGTGGCTTCCCCTCCTATGCGAGGTAGTAGCCACAAAAAGCTGATAAAAAGCAAATTTTCTTTAATAAAGAAAAGACTTGATGCTTGCATTTCCGTTTTGAATAAGAATGAAGTCATGTTAGGAAAACCTGATGTCAAACAACCAGGTCGAACGATTTACAGGGTAGTTATTTAGATAAGCGGTCCTGCCTTGTTTTTGTGTATTTCAGTCAAGTGAATCAAACTGTGACAATTGATAACCCTGGATCCCTGATGCGCTTGTGGAAGGCACTGTGGAAACTGTGTTGCTGCGTCGTTAGNTACGGCAAGCAAAAAACCAATTGCAGTGGAAAAGCAGTTTTGACACTTGCGCGAAAATGGCTTGACTGCGTTTCCAAATCCTGATCCGCACTTTAGTGGCCTGCGCAATGCTAAAATTCCTTCGCGCTGGAAACTTTTACAGTAACGGTCTGATTTTCTCGATTTTCCAGTTTTTGGTCTTTGCTCGTCCTTCATCTCTGACTGAGCTAAAAAAAGAAAAAAAGGCGTAAAAGGAAAAAAAAAAACAGGAACAAAAGGAAGAATTCACCCAACCAGAGCGCTCCCAAACTTTTCATTCTGTCTCACAATATCATCAGTGCTCGCAACTGAAACCCTACGGGCATTTAAATGGCTTCTGCCCGATGACTCTCTCTCACGAAAAAAATTTTCTTTTTTGCGTCAAGGCGTAACCACCGTTGCATTTTTCTCTAGCTCGATTATTTCTTTACCAGTGGGCCTCCAAGGATGGCTCCATGGGTAAGACCAGAGGGATGGAGAAAGATAGCATGTGACCAACGCTTCCGCTGGTTGTCAGGGAACAGCTAAACGACATTTTCTCAATGTTGGCATTCCCTTTGCGCCCGTATCCACTGATCGAGTGCTTGGCACATGCTGATTTCAACCTCCCTCTATGACCACAGCATGGAAACTAAGGAAAGGCTCTGTGAGGCTTCGCACACTACACAAAGTCAAAAATAGTTATGCGAGTAACTTAATTTTTCAGATCTGAAATTCGAGTTTGACGCATTCATTATATACAGTTCCCATGACTCAGCGTGGGTGGAAAAAACCCTTCTTCCAACTCTTGAGGGAAAGCATGGGTTGAAGTGCTGTGTACACTACAGAGATTTTACTCTTGGAATACCCATTCGGAAAAATATGGTTGACAGCGTTTACATGAGCAAGAAAACGGTGGCTGTTGTCTCCACTAATTTCTTCACTAGTAACTATTGCGGAAGTGAGCTGGATTACGCCCTCCACAGACTCATGGAAAAAAAGGATGATAGCTTAGTTGTAATCAAACTTGATGACGTTGACCGAAATAGACTGCCGAAGGAATTACAAAACAGGAGTTACATAGACTATACAAAGTCAAGAGAAAAGGAAACTTGGGAGAAAAAATTGATTAAATGTTTAAAGGTCACCAGCTAACTAGGAAATTACGATCGAGCCTACAGCAGCCTGCATCATCACGGAAAGCCGATTTTCAGTACGTAACAAGAACAACGACTTTGACCTGCATTATAACGAATAAATATGTTACAATCATATG